TCTGATTTTTTGTTTTCGCATTGTCTCTTCTTGTATGGTAGGATTTTGGCTAAGCCTACGAGTTAGTAGAAGTTTTGGGAGCCTCTTTTTCTCAAGGGAGATACTGTCAAAATTTCTCCTAAATACTCAAAGTTAGTCAAGAGGCAGAGATGTCAGCTAGGATAAGATATAGTTTAGTCTTTGGGGTCAGTAGGAATTATGGAAGCCTTCCTTTCTAAAGGAAGTGCTGCCAAAATTTCTACTAAAACCAAAGAGTAAGTTATTTTCAAATATTTTTCTGAGTCTCGAGTTTTTTTTCTTTTTAGATTTCGTATAGTAAATATTCTTCGAGCACACTTCCCTAAAAAAGTGCTGCCGAAATTTTCAGGATTTTCACATCGTTACCAAACGCTACTGCTAAGTAGATTAGAGTGCGATACCGAGTTGAACTCCGTTAACTCGACAAACGATGCCTGCCTTGATCTTTGTGACCCACGTCATTGCTACCTGCGAGTGTTCTTCGAAGTCTTGAGCTTCATCAACTTCTGCTATCCAATTGATAGCACGTCGCTTTGCGACTCAACTCCTACCCACCATGATACCCACGCCCAGATGTCTGTGACCCCGTTGGCGAAAGGCATTTCCGTGCGAATAAAGTTCCTATTCTTTGAACCTCTCTTGAATGGCCTTGCAAAAGTTGTGTGAATAGGGACGGGCGGGTATGCTTTTGCTGAGTGGGGGTCGGAAAGGGGCATGTGGGACATGTACCTCGGAGTAAAATAGTTGACCACCTTTTGTGGCATTTGCGTTTGGATTTTCATTGGACTTCATGTGTGTGCGGGTATGTATGGGAGCAAGGGCTCGCTCCTGAATTAAGGGTGATATGGATGAATGATTGCAAGGTGTGAGTGACAAGGTTCAACTATGGCTGTGAGAATGGCTCTCCCCGATTTCCGCCAAGACTCACCCTTTTTTTTTTTCTTATTTCAATCCTGCCGCACGTATCTCGCGAACAGGCAGGAGTAGCCAAACGCAAGGTTAGCGCTCGACCTTAGATTGGATTGAAACTAAGTTTGGGTACGGTGAATTACTCGCCAACCCGTTTCTACTCGTATTTCCTTTCCGCAAGGGAAGAACGAGCGAACCCTGTCTAAAGGGGTTTTACTTTTTAGATTCTTGGTCGGACGTCGGTCCTGAGCCTGAAATTCGAGGTCCTTGTCCAGGACATCTCAGGCTCTGGTTCAGCACAAAAGGGTTTCCCCCCTGAGCCGAACCTACGACCCTTGCTTATCGTCACCCACCACCTAAAAGATAGGGGTGTCGCAAGGGCCAAACGACTTATCCTTCAACCCTGCAATATCGTGAAGGAGGAACCCTTCACGATATTTCGCTTTCGACACTTGAGTGTCGTACGCAAACCCGAAACCCATGAGAGGTTGCGCGGATGTGGGTAACGCATGAAGCGTCGCCATGACAACAGATCAAGAGAGTACACATGACTGGGCGTTATGTTTCCCTTAGCGCCTGCATTCTTTTTATGCAACTCTGTGCGGGCCTTGCGCAGACACACTTGTCTTCTGAGTTATGGGTCAGGACGAATGAAAAAGGGACTAAGCTTACTTCTTTGTTTAAGTTGGTTTTCTGCGTATCACGTGGTTGAGTTAGGATGTCCTAGTCGACCGATGCTGAATCGCACGTGGGAGATCAGCGCCCCAGCGTGACGGTTCGCGTACGGGTCCGAGCTAGGCGTGAGTTATGGGTCAGGACGAATGAAAAAGGGACTAGGCTTACTTGTTTGTTTAAGTTGGTTTTCTGCGTATTGCGTGGTTGAGTTAGGATGTCCTAGTCGACCGACGCTGAATCGCACGTGGGAGATCAGCGCCCTAGCGTGACGGTTCTCGTACGAGTCCGAGCTAGGCGTGGACCGTGCGTATCCCCTATGTTACATGCTTACAGCATAAGAGAAACGCCCTCGGTTGTGCCACCTCCGCGATTGCAAGTAAAATCTTTCACGTGTGGTTCAGTAGCTCGACGGGGATACGCCCACCCAAGGGATGGTGACAGCTCCCACGGGTGGAGATAAGTTGTACCTCGCGGGACCCTGTCCTGTCGTAGGGACTCGATGGAGGTATAGCTGGCACACTCGGTCGGAGCGGCTCCGCCGCTTCCCTTTTCAAGAAGCGACATGCGAATTCTGCCAAACCTGCGTGACGCGGCTGGGAAGGTTCCCCCGACGGGGACCGTACGCTCGACACCGGTAGTCCAAAATAGGTGGAGAAGGGACTCCCCGGTGGGTGAATCGCCATATCCCATGGGCCGCACACACTCGTATCATGCCCACCTCCCATAGGGCCCTGCAATGGCAAATCACACACTGGTGCCTCCCGAACCCGGATTGGGTGACCACAAGGTCCAACCTGGAGTAGGCAGGGTTTATGTCCCCCATCTGCTCCAATTGTGGGCCCGATGCCCCTCAACACGGGGCAGATCTGGAACATTGCCTTTTGGCATGTCCAATGGCAGTACGGATATAGCAATGGTGGGACACAATCTGGCACGCCCTCACAGGTACAGTATTCCACTGGAACATAGCCCTCACACCCTTTCAAATAAACCTGTTCAATCAGATGACCCTCACACCCTTTCAAATAAACCTGTTCAATCAGATGAGGCTGGCTGTCCTCATGGTCATATGGCCGATTAGGTGCTCGGTAGAGGGTCAAGAAATGGCGTTTGTTATCCGGGCAAACTTGGTTAAAGCTTGCAGAAAACTAATGGCGGAGATAGCAGTAAGTCCGGACCGAGAGAAAAAACAACAGGCTATCTCAGCATTTAGCGAACGCTGGCTTGACCCCCACTGCAAGATGGCGGAAGTCCAGGACAACGGAAAGCTCCTCTGAAAAAACTGGGCGGCGCTGGAAGACCAGTGGTCCTTCCGACAGGCAAACTGCTTCTACACACCGCGGACGGGGCTGTCGACGGGGACAATGGCAGCAGCCAGCCCAACATCTGACCATTGCTCCCAAGTCTCTGCGGAGCCAACCCTTCAGCTCCGCCCCCACCCACACAGGGCCCCCCCTTTGCCCTCCCCAGCCTATCCAGACACCCCCTACTCC